AGCCAACCTAGGTTCAATTCCCAGCATCCCATATGGTCCCCTGAGCACCGCCAGGAGTAATTCCTGAGTGGATGAACGAGGAGCAACTCCTGTGCATTGCTGGGTGTGACCCAAAAAGCAAAAAAAAAAAAAAAAGAAGTGGTTTAATTAGTGGGAAATGTGCTTACCTTGCATGCAATTTACCTGGTTTGATCCCTGCTACCACATATGATTCTGAGCCCTGCCAGGAGCATCTGAGCACAGCCAGAAGTAAGCCTAGACCAGGTGTGGGTCCAAAACCATCAAAGAGTTGTTAAGTGAATTGTAAAGGGATTATGTAGGTTCTGCTGTTGATTTCTCAAAGATTTCACAATTTTGAAGGGTGTAGGAAAAACAGAACGTGCGTATAACCACAATGTACATTGGATTGAAATAGAAGCACTTTTAGAAGAAAAATCAAGGTACAGTGGTAGTCACTTTTCTGCATGAAGATAGAGGAAAGCAGGAAAACTTTTGTCACAGCTGAATCCTAACACATCAGTGCAGATTTCATTTCAGTTTTGCTTAACCTGTTCATGTATTTATTATGTTCATTCCTTATATTGCACAGAAACTTATTTTAGTGTCATGATACCATAGAATTCTTTTACCTTGTTCAACAGTTCCAGGAGATGTCATGAAAGAATATATATTTTTTCGTAATGTAGTCTTTATTGACAGCTATTGTTTTGCTTACAAACCTGACACCTGCCAAATACTGACAAATCAGCATGTGTTTGAAAATAAAAATTTACACTAGGGTTAAGGTTTGAAAATGATCTTGCTACAAAAATTTTGTTCTCATTACATACCTAGTGAAAAATATATTTTTAGATTCTAAGTAGACTGCTCAAATAAAATTGAAAAATGATGAACCATGACATACCAACCTATTTTAATATGATATATAGAATAATTCTTGCTCCTTTTCTACATTGGAATATACTCAAGAAAAATTTAAATTTCCTAATAACAATGTTAACTTCCATTTATTCCATATTACTAATGTTCCAGAAAATGGTTATGTAAGAATTTTTTGCTTAAACATTTCTTAAATTTTCTCCAACACTAAAATTCAATTTATTTCACAAGATTTATACAAAAACTTACAAGGTTAAAATACAGTTGCTTTACCTACCCGCTTCTAACCACAGTTATATCACTGGAACTGCGCATGGTCCCTCGAAAACCACCAAAAGTGATCTCTGATCACAGAGCCACAAGCAAACGCTGGTATGTGTGCCTTCCCCACAAAAATAGCTTTTGAGAGTTATCCCAGAAAAAAATGAGATCTGACTCTTTAGATAGAACAGCAGCCTTGATCTCAGAACAGTTATCAGGTAGAAACTTTGTTCTAGAGAGATAACAGCCAGTAAGATTGCATATGGCCAAACCAAGTTTGGTCTCTTGGACCACATATGGCAACCTGAGCCCCTCCAGGAGTGATCTCTGAGCACAGAGCCAGGAATAAACTCTGAGAATAACCAAATATGGCTTAAAAGCATCAGGAAAATTTGGTCATTGTCGTTCAACTCACCTCTCCCATACAAATTCCTGTATACTATGTTTTCCAAATTGCCACTTTCTACATGTATTCAAATACCATATTGGATTATAAGAGACCTCCTACTAGATCTATCCTACTTCATAGAACCCGTAGCAGCTTTTTAAGAAGAGGTCTTATGTCTGGTTCTATCACTCAACTTTCATCTCGCCAACAGCCAAAATGATTAGTACTCAACTACACTACAAAATGCAACTTATTGGGGATTAAAGGTCCAAAAGATTTGATTGATCCAAGGTATTGGTTATGTTTGTTTTTACTTTGTTACTTATATGCTCGTCTTATACTTATTAACCTTAAAAAAATCATACAGAACTGTAAGGGCTACATCTACACAATGGAATACTGTGCAGCAGTTAGGAAAAAATGAAGCTATGAAATTCACTTACAAATGCATGGACATGGAGAGTATCATGCTGAGTGAAATGAGTCAGAAGGAGAAAGACAGACATAGAATAATTTCACTCATTTGTAGTACTGTAGCACTGTAGCACTGTTGTCCCATTGTTCATCAATTTGCTCAAGCGGGCACCAGTAATGTCTCCAATGTGAGACTTGTTGTTACTGTTTTTGGCATATTGAATATGTCATGGGGAGCTTCTGCCATATGGGCGGGATACTCTCGGTAGCTTACTGGACTCTCCGAGAGGGACGGAGGAATCGAACCTGGGTCAGCCCTGTGCAAGGAAAACGCCCTACCTGCTGTGCTATGGCTCTAGCCCCACTCATTTGCAGAGTATTTAAAGTAAAGTAAAGGCCCTCCCGTTGATCATCGATTTGCTCGAGCGGGCCCAGTAACGTCTCCATTGGAGACTTTGTTGTTACTGTATTTGGCATATCGAGTACCTCATGGGGAGCTTGCCAGGCTCTGCCGTGCGGGCGAGATACTCTCGGTAGCTTGCCGGGCTCTCCGAGAGGGGTGGAGGAATCGAACTCGAGTCGGCCATGTTGGCTGCGTGCAAGGCAAATGCCCTACCGCTGTGCTATCGGGCGTGGTGGCGCGCGCCTGTAGTCCCAGCTACTCGGGAGGCTGAGGCCGGAGGATCGCTTGAGTCCAGGAGTTCTGGGCTGTAGTGCGCTATGCCGATCGGGTGTCCGCACTAAGTTCGGCATCAATATGGTGACCCTCCAGGAGCGGAGGACCACCAGGTTGCCTAAGGAGGGGTGAACCAGCCCAGGTCGGAAACGGAGCAGGTCAAAACTCCCGTGCTGTAGAGTATTAAAAAAAAAATAATATAATATGAGACTAGTACCCAAGGACAGTAGAAACAAAGACAAGGAGGATTAGTCTACAATTGGAAGCCTGCCTCAAATGTTGGGGGAGAAGCAATTGGGATAGAGAGGGGACCATTATGACAAAGATAGTTGGAAATGATCGGATAGGAAAGGCATGGCAAAAGTAGGTAAAGGAACAAACATGGTACCTTCTCAGAATCTTTGTTCCAGACCATATGTCCAGAAGTACAGAGAGAAAGGGGTGGGGGCCGGAGAGAAGGAAGGAGGCTGCCATAGAACCACAGAGGCAGGCTGTGCAGGAGGGTAATAGGAGGGAACCAGGGGTCATTGGTGGTGAGAAATGGACACTGGTAGAGGGATGGGTGTTGGATCATCGTATGATTGAAGCTTGATTATGAACAGCTTTGTAACTATGTAAAACTGTAAGGGCTCAACACATCCTTTGTGTGCAGAAATCTAGATTCAATTTCTGGCATCACATAGCCCCCCAGGCAACACCAAAAGCAGAACCCAAGCAGTACCACGTGTGGCCCCAAAATAGAAATGACTTAGGATAATATAACATCCATCCATAAATAAGAAACGTGGTGATTTGCCTTTTATTTAAAGTGTGTGTGTGTGTGTGTGTGTGTGTGTGTGTGTGTGTGTGTGTGTATGAAGCAAGATAGTTTTTATTGAAGGAACTTGAGAAATAGTAGAGCAGGTAGGGCACTTGCCTTGCATCTGGTCAACCTGAGTTCAATTCCCAGAGTCCCATACCTCCTGGTGGTCCCCCAAGCACCATCAGGAGTAATTATTGAGTGGAGAGCCAAGAGTAACCCCTAAGTATTGCCAGGTGTAGCTAAATGGTTGGAGGTGAGAGGGGCTGGAAAACCATAGTTTTTAAACATTTAACGAACAAAACTTATTAAGACATGAGGGGAAAGAAAGATACTGCATGATCAAGGCAGAATAATGCATGCTTGAGAGGGCAGCTCAGAACTTTTTATTGTTGTTTTTGTTATTATTTGTTTTTTGGGTCCCGCAAGGCAGTACTCAGGCCCTACTCCTGGATCTGCCAGTTGGCGGGGCTCAGCACCATATGTGAGATTACCAGGGATTGAACCTGGTCAGTCATGTGCAAGTCAAGAACCCTACCCACTGTATTGTCACTACAGCTCAGTTTTAAAAATAAACAATTGTATAAACAATTGTATAAACAATTTTAAAATAACAATTGTTTATTTTTAAAACTGAGCTATAATGATAGTACAGTAGGTAGAGAAGTAGATAAAGGACCAAACATGATAACGTCTCAGAGTCTGTATTGCAAACCATAATGCCCAAAAGTAGAGAGAGAGTATAGGGAATATTATCTGCCATGGAGGCAGAGGGAGGGTGGGAAAGGGGGGGGTACACCAGGGATATTGGTGGTGAGGAATGTGCACTGGAGGAGGGATGGGTGTTTGATCATTGTGTGATTGTAACCCAAACATGAAACCTTGTAACTATCTCACGGTGATTCAATTTTTTTAATTAAATAAATAAATAAACAATTGCCAGTAGCTCAGTGGGCTGAGTGGATCCTTTACCTGTAGGAGCCCAACTTCAACGCAAGCTGCAGTTTCCTAAGCTCTTCAGGGCCAACCCCTGACAGAGTCAGGAGTAGCCTATGCACCACCAGATATATCCAGTTAATGTGTGTGTGTGTGTGTGTGTGTGTATTTTTTTTCTGGAAGTGCAGGTCAGGGTATCACACCTGGCAATGTCTCAGGGTTATTCCTGGCTCTGCACTCAGGAGTTACTCTTGGCAGTGCTTGAGGGACCCTATGGGATTCCAGGGATGCAACCTGTGTTAGCCACCTGCAAGGCAAAGTAGTCTACCCACTGTACTATCAGTCTGGTCCCAAATTTTTTTAAATTAAAAACCAATAACAATGAATTACTTTAACACTTTATACCTTGATAATCCCCAGGTTCATGACTGATTTACAGGAGGGGGAAGCAGTGAATTTTTATTAAGGCTGTAAATTGGTTTTTAAAAAATGCCTAGAGATTTAAAAATAGATTTTGGTCTTAAAAACACTCGAATACAGTTGCAGTATCTCCAAGAGGTATTCCTTTCAGACATATTAATAGTAGTTCTCTTTGAGCAGAGTGGGATTTCCTGCACAAATCCATAAACAGATATTCTTTTTCATAGATCGAATTGCACAGAACATCATTAAGTCCCATCTGGAGACATGTCAGTACACCATGGAGGAACTGCACCAGCTGGCATGGCAGACCCACACCTATGAAGAGATCAAAGCATATCAAAGCAAGGTATTCGGGAAAACTATGAGAAAGTTTTTCTGTTTTCTCTTTCTGACTTTTCAGTTTCAGGTCTGTTGAGATTTGGGGCTCAATAAGTGTTTGAATAAAGACCGCACTATACATCAAGGTTGTTCAGCAAGATTCCTGAACATCACTCCTACCAGATACCTGTAGCTCCTTCCCCACATGTCATGATATAATCAAAAATGCACAGAGGGGTCGGAGAGGTAAAACAGGAGCTAGGGTTGCTGCCCTTGCATGCTGCCAACCCAGGTTCAATCCCTCCAGACCTCACATAGTCTCCTAATTCCCATGGGGAGTGATCCCTGAGCACAAAGCCAGGAGTAAGCCCTGGGCACTCCAGGTGTGGCCCCAAAACATAAGCAAACAAAAACCTAAAGATACTCATATCTATGTTTTCAGAAAACAACATGACCCCAATTTAAAAACACTGCCTTTTTTTTTATAAGATGGGGGTAACACGGAGACTGTATTGGGTGACTTTAGGACATCTCTTGACTATTTTGGTTCAAAAAGAGCATTAGCAAATGAGAGATCATAAAAATAATCATCTCAAATTTATGTCATAAGGATGTGCAACAAAGCTCTTAAAGTATTTCTTTTTACAAAACAAATTTTTAAGGACAATAAAAACCCCATCCCAATCTGTTTTAAAAAAATCACCCTTGTTCACTAGAGAAGATTTGAAGAGAAGGAACTTGTTGGTGATGATAGGCTAGTATCATCATATTACTCATTTTGGGTTGAGCACCTCAATAACAGATGCACTAGAGAATTGAATTTTAATAGCTATATAAATATGTCTTCCTAATTGTGATTTTATCATACCTATTTTTTTTCTACCAGTATAACTAAATCTTACCACTCTTACATGAGTAGGAAGAAAAGAGTGTAGTCAATTTAAAAATGCTCATATTTACATTTCACATTCTAAAGAAAATAACCTCAGAATAAAAATATATTTTATTGAACTCTATAACTTAAGAGAGTGACTTGATTGGATGTCTTTTCTTCTGAAATTCTTTAATACAAAAAAAAAAATCATTGAATTTCTGAGGCCAAAAAGGTAGAATAGTTGCACAGCAGTAGACCAAGGTTTGGTCCCCTGCACTACATATAGTAGCCTGAGCTTCACTAGGAGTGATCCTTGACCACAAATCCAGGAATATTCCCTGAGCACTGCCTGCTATGGCCCAAATCTCAAGCAACAACAACAAACCCACTGAATTTCTGGGAAAAGGTTATAACATAAACGTATTATTCATTTGGTATTTATCGGGTATACTCATAACCCACAGATACCTGTGAATGGAGTGGTTATCCTCACTGTTAGAGTTTTTTTGTAACAAAATGGACTCAGGCTTGTGTCTGTTTAAATGAGACTTGGAAGGAAAAAAAATTGAAAAGGAAACTCAAGCTGTTTTTAGATACTATTGCATGTTTTAGTCTTAAAACTATAATAAATGTGGTCTAGTAGGGTTCAAGCAGGTCAAAAACAATCTTAGAAAAGATAACTCTTTTAGAGACATCAAGTAAAGTCCCTGATGAGGCGCCAAGTAACAGGTAAGCATGGCTTGAGTATTTTGTCAACCCTCCAAGGTGCCCTCTACTCTCCTTCCATTCTGGGCTTTCTCTCCCGCAGTCCAGGGAAGCACTGTGGCAACAATGTGCCATCCAGATCACTCACGCCATCCAGTATGTGGTCGAGTTTGCAAAGCGGATAACAGGCTTCATGGAGCTCTGTCAGAATGACCAGATTCTACTCCTGAAATCAGGTAAGCCAGGAGGGGCAGAAAGAGCCTCTTGTAGACCAGGATGTGGTTAACCCTCCGCTCTGGGGTGGTTCCAGAGAAGCCTCCTTCTAATCCATAGCCCCATCCTGCCACCCAAACTGTTGGCCAGCTCCCAAAAGGAATTCCCGCTCATCAAGTGCCCTGATACTCACTCTTTTCCCCTTTGAAGTCAAATACAATTTTGTTTCTTGAAAGTGGAGTTATTCATTGTGGAGGTTGAGATGTCCGACTTGACAGGCACTGCAAGTAATTAGCATGTCAGGGTGGTTGAATTGCTGAGCTGGCTGTAAAACCAGCTATTTGCAAGGGGAAAAACCCAGGCTAGCAGAGTGTGCCTCGGTGGTCATTTCCAATCATTTTAATGAGGATAGCCTGCAGCCAATATGCACCATGAGAGATGCCACATTATAGCCCCCTCCTCTCACACAGGCACTTCGCCACGCATGCAGTGACTTAGAAAGTAGCTCAAGAAACTGCACGTGGTTGACTCTGCAGATGCCGTTACCCAAACAGAATAAAAAAAAATGTTACCCTTCTTGTCCCTGTTTGAAAATAGAATATAAGAACCATCTGCGTGTTTGTATTATTCTTCATGATCCTGGGCATGGAAACAGTAACAATAACAGTTATATATACATATGAAATATTCATATGTTTGCCTATGATAGAACACTTGATCCTGTAAAATCTGTATTACTTCAATCATATGGAAGAAGAAGAAGTAATTATTCCGAGAAAGAAAGGACTATATTCAATATCACAAATTGGCATTTGAGCTCGGACCAAATAGAAAACTTGTTTGAAGTTTCACCTTTTTTTATCTAAATCTTGCTTGACTCAAATATTAATTTGATTTTTTCTTGCTGGATAAATAGAATCCCAAAGTTTAGGGATTTGGAGAAATAGTACAGGAGTCAGACACGTGCCTTACACAAAACCAACTCCAGTTCTCCTGTATCCCCAGCAACACATGTGGTCCTCTGAACATCTGCAGTAGTGATGTCTCAGTACAGAGCCAGGAGTAAGCCCTGAGCCTATCATCAGATATGGACTAAATAACTAATCCCCAAAATTAGTTCAACAATGGTTATTTGAACTACAGGGATTAGCAAGGAATGGCTTGTCTATTTTAAGGGTGTTCAGTGAATTGATTGACACTGTGGACCATTGCAAACTGTTTCAACACGTGGTTAGCAATTTGTGCTGATTGACATCCCAGAACTGGGCTGAAGGCCTCACTTCTTATCCATGTGAACCTCTCCATATATGCCTTGGACTTTCTTCCAGGATGGTCACTGGCTTTCAAAAGCTTGCATTTTTGGCCAGAGAGAAAGTGGTCCCTGAGCACAGAGCCAGGAGTAAGTCCTGGAAATAGTTACAAATGGCTCAACCTCTCCCTGACCCCGGGTCCCTCCCCCAAAAAAAAGTAATGATAAATAAATTTTAACTAGCATTCTGAGAAAACAAGACAGAAGCATAAAAACTTTGGGGGCCTGATATATAGCACAGTGAGTAGGGATATAGATATAGATATAGATACAGATACAGATACAGATACAGATATAGATATAGATATAGATATAGATATAGATATAGATATAGCCTTGCACATGAATGACCCAGGTTCTATCCCCAGTATCCCGTATGGTCCCCCAACCCCATCAGAGTAATTCCTGAGCACAGATCCAGGAGTAGCCTCTGAGCACTGCCAGGTGCGGCCTCAAAACAAAACTAAATAAATAAATAAAAACTACTTTTTACTGAAAGCTTTAGAAGTGTCACACCATTAGTGAAAAGTAGTCAGGAAAGGGCACCTGTAATCAAGGGCACTCTTGAAGGGGGTGAGGACAGGGAGGAGAGAGTGACAATGTTTTAAGCATGTGAATCAAAGAGGTTTTGTGTCTCTCTGAAAAGTCAAATCGGCCATTCCTGATACATGACTGTTAACTGAACTCCCCGAGGTCAGTTTCCACATCATAAAATAAAGAGAAGGACCAGGAACAATGAATTCCGAACTTGAAACTGCATCAACGGTGTGGGAGAAACTTACTGAACATTTTGAGTCATAGGCATCATATTAGGCCCATGAAATCTAAAACTCCTGAGGTGAACTCAATTCTTTGCATTTATAAGTGTCAGACCTAACCAATGCATGAGACTTGGAGAGTACTGATGCCTAAACTCTTGACTACCTCTATCTGCTGACTCAGCATGAAAGTCAGCCTTTATACACTTTCTAGAATTCGCCCATTATAAAGGCTACTGAAGTCCACCCAGAAGGGAGTTGCAAGGAGAAAATAAAAGAAGGAATCTAAGGGCTAAGCAAAGTTCTGGGTGGGGGATGGGGAGAGTGGGTGGGAGGTGGGGGGAGGGGAAGAAAGCACCTCAGGGAAGCCTTAGCCCCTTTTGTTTTGTTTGTTTGTCTGTTTAGAAAATCACAGCTTCAATTAATGTTTGCAAAGAAAATTTATTTGTAAATGAATCCTTAGGTTGGGGCCTATAAGGATAGTAAAAAGAAATCAGCAGAAAATGGAAGTAAAAGAAACGGAAGTCTAAAATCACCCATGTGATGCCCTCAAGCAAATTTTTGGCTTCTGCAGCTGGTTGTCACCTTTCTGGTTTCATGGGGGAAATGCGGATCTCTCCAAAATGCCAAAGTGTGTTAGAGTTGTGCAATAGTAACTGGAGGGAAAAGGTAGCAAGCTAATTCATTCAATTCATATTTTTATTAGCATTACTATGCTTTTCCAAGGACTTTTTTGTGTCCTTGAGAAAAACTGTTGAAGAAATTACCACAACTGCCTACACCTGAAGGCAAGGATTCTGTTCTTGGTCTAACAGAGAATTCAGAGAAATGCTATGTTCATCAAAGTCGAACAAGCTTCCTTATGTTAGGACTTTGATCTGTGAGTGTTGATTATAACTTTCTGGCTTGAGATAATTGAGCATTTTCCCCAAACCTATTTGACCACGATATCTTCATTTCAAAGAACATCAACTATAAGTAGTGCCCTCAAGAAACACATTGAAAGAATCTCTATTTAATGCCATTGTGTGCTGAAATATACATGGAGGATGTTTGCAACTGAAGCAGAAAGCAAGTTTTCCCAACAATCAGTTGCAAAGGTTAAGAGCCTAGACTTTCCCAGCTTTTTTTTTTATTTTTATTAGTGAATCACCACGAGGTACAGTTGTAGACTTACAAATTTTTGTGCTTGGGTTTCAGTTATACAATGATCCAGTACCCATCCCTCCACCAGTGCCCATTCTCCATCATTTACACTTTTTTTAAAATTTTTGTTAGTGAAACACCCTGAGGTACAATTGTAGATTGACAAATTTTTGTGCTTGGGTTTCAATTGTGCAATGACCAAACACGTAGTGGTGGAAAATGGACTTTCCCAGCTTTTTTGTTTGGAGACTACATCCGACAGTTCTCAGGGTCTACTCCCTTTTTTGTTTTGTTTTGTTGTGTTGTGTTTTGTTTTGTTTTGTTTTGTTTTGGGATCATACTGGCTCTGCACTCAGGAATCACTCCTTATGGTACTCAGGGGACCATAATGAATGCCCAGGATCACCCACCCACTATGCGATCTCTTCAGCCTCTCATCTTTGTTTCTTTATAGCCCACATATGCAAGAGATCATTCTGTGCCTGCCCCTCTTTTTCTAACTTCAACGTGATACTCTCCAGATCCATCATCATAGCAACAAATTTTATCTCTAGTCTCTCTCATAAGCATCAAGGGATTTTTATTTCTGAAAAAATTATTTTCTAATTATATTTTGTTGTTTTTTCCTTTCCCGTTGTTGCTGTTGCTTTTACTAGAGCTCACACACATGTTATTTCTCTTGCTGTTGCTCTTGATGCTGCAGTGACCGAAAATCACACACATACTTGATTGTGGGACTTGCATTACTGGCTGTGGTGCTTGCTAATAGTTGCACACTTAAGCTGCAGTACTTGCACATGTGAGCTCAGGGTTCATAGACCCTACCCACGGTGCTTGCACATCTTTACTTGTGGGATTTACAGGGGGTGGCACTGGAGTTTCTGTGTGCCATAGATCACACACTCTGTTATAGTGCCCGGAGTCCCTAACAAAGCTGGAGTGATCACTCTCAATGCATGCAGGCAACATTGGGGATCAAACTCAGAGCCTAATGCTTTAAAGTCTGTGCTTTTAGCCACAGATCGCCTAAATATATTTTTACTGCAGGTCCCTTAATATATTTTTTCAGGAGGGAAAAAATTCTGAGAGAATTTTGCATTCTTGTGCTCATATGTGTTGGTGGGCTGGAGCGATAGCACAGCGGTAGGGCATTTGCCTTGCACGCAGCCAGCCTGGCCGAGCCAGGTTCGATTCCTCCACCCCTCTCGGAGAGCCCGGCAAGCTACCGAGAGTATCTTGCCAGCAAGGCAAAGCTTGGCAAGCTACCCGTGATGTATTCGATATGCCAAACACAGTAACAGCAAGTCTCAAAAAAATGGAGACGTTACTGGGCCCGATGAACAACGGGAGGACAGTGTGACAGTGTGATATGTGTTGGTGTGTGCTCTAAAGGTTTTGGAAGCCTTTTTAATCTCTAGGTAGTAATAAAGTCTCTTTTTTCTATAGTTATATGCATATTTTTAAACATTTTTTACTTATAGGTTGCTTGGAAGTGGTTTTAGTGAGAATGTGCCGTGCCTTCAACCCATTAAACAACACTGTTCTGTTTGAAGGAAAATATGGAGGGATGCAAATGTTCAAATCCTTAGGTAAGCTTCCCTGTGGTCATGACTCAATTTTCTTATCCTCCCTCAGCTTTTCCGTCCTTTCAGATAGGAATTGATAAATGTAACACCTTGGTTCTTTAATATAAACTTGCACATACCCAAGCCTAAGAAACTGAAGTAGGTGAGCTTCCAATGTTTCATTTACCTCTCCTGATCATACATTTATGTATCTTACTATGAGAGGAAGGAAAAGACCATTTGGAAATTAATGAAATTGATTGTAAAAGGACAGGGATGCATTATAGTATACTTTGTAAATCAATATTTTTTTATTTTTAATCAAGTTTTATTGATTTGCCATTAGGTAATAATACTCCTAAGATTTCGGGAGTACAGTCTCACACCTTTATATATGTCTAAATCTTACCTACCACCAAAGTCAGCACACTTTCAAATGATCCCTTTACACATATTCTTCGCTCTGATCACTGCTGTAATTTTCAGAGATTCTGAGGGATTTTGTCAGTTCATTTCCTTGGGCAGGCTACCGAATGTAACCTGCCCACACGGCAGAGTCTGGCAAACTCCCTGTGGCGTACCCAATATGCCAAATACCAGTAACATTGATGGGTCTCATTCTCCTAACTCTGAAAGAGCCTTGAATATGGCACTTTTTAAAAAATCTCAGGGCTAGGATGAAGGAGACGTTACTGGGGCCTGCTCGAGGCAATCGACGAATAACAGGATGGTCATGATCATGATTTCCTTGGGTTATTTATATAACATATATGACAAAAACCATCCTGTAATTGTCTTTAATTTTTTGACTGACCTCAGCACCTTTAACTCAAGTTTTACCCATGTTTTTCTCTTTTTAATTGCCTAGTAGTATTCTGCCACGTACAGATGCCACAGTTCCCATAGGGTCAGCTATTCTGTTACCTTTGCATTTATTCCTTCACGAACTGTATTATGTTGCCTTCTGGTGGTCCATAACCCTTTGAAATCTTGTTTACATCCCCCAAAATGAGTTGACTCAATTAAAAGAGATGCTCCCTCCATTTGTTCTCCTATCCATCAAGTTCTGTGAGCACAGATAGAAGGAGTGCTTACTTGTACAAAATTATCCCCAGGCAGTCTTGAGGGAGAGCTGGGATAACATTGGAAGCGTTGTGTATCATTCTTCTCGAGGCATCATGGATGTATCATCTGCATCCATCAGCACAGCCTGGATAAGAAGAACATTAGCAGAGATGGGTTGATGCCAGGAAAGGTTGGAACAGTGATAGTGCCGTTTGTTCCAGATCCTGCCCAGAGACATCACCTTTCACCTTTTTTGCTGTTAGTTGATATGGTAGTCCACAAGTCTATCGGGACAGACATTGTTTCCCTGGTGCAGTTGATATACATCCAATGTCATCTCCAAGGTTAGATTTTCAAGAAAGAGGGAAAGCCTTGGCAAACAACAGGGGTTTATTTCCAGCTTCATAAAATAAACATTTATGAGGGATCATTATAGGCATGAAACATTATTTTGTCTAAATTCACAGTGACCAAGAACATGAAGCATTGGATAGAAGATTAAAATAGATATTAGCCTCTTAACCAATGTTCCAAGGAAGTGACTGAATTGATCTCCCTTCAGTGAGAAAGTCCATAACATCTCAGGTTAAGGCCACTGAAGCCCCTATGTTGCCATATTAAAGGGACTGGCAGTCCTGTGTCCCATAATGATGTTTAAAATTTTCTAGAATTTTTCTCTCTATACCAAAAGATCTCAAAATCATTTATGTAAAAAAAATAGTTAGCAAAATTTCAAACATATAAGGTTAGATTTAAATATTATGTTTCTAATCACATATTACAGTGAACATAAACATTTCCAGTTACCCCTTATCAGCAATGTTAACTTTTTTTTTTAATGTAGGAGTACTGCTATTTATTCAGCCACTGATTAGCTGATTGAATAGGACATGAACTCCACCTTACCTTTTTTTTCATAGTTTTATTTATTTCTTTCTTCGTATATTTATTTATTGAATCACTGTGGGAAAAGTTACTAACCTTTCAGGTTTAAGTCTCGGTCATACAATGAATGATCAAACACCTCTCCCTTCACCAGTACTCATTTTTCACTACCAAGAACCCCAATATACCCCCCCCCCGACCTCTCCAATGCCTGTGAGGCAGATGATCTCCACTTAATTCTTAACTTTTAACTTTCATTTTCTGGTTGGCCTAATTCTTCAATCTATAATTTCTATTACATAACTTTTTGCAGTTAGAAACTTAGAATTTTTTTCCATGTAACTAGTATGCAGATTTATAAATAATTTTTATAATGGGACTTTTCTTAGTGTTACCACAATCTGTTATTTAATTTGTCTTTTCTTTATAGGTTCTGATGACCTAGTAAATGAGGCTTTTGACTTTGCAAAGAATTTGTGTTCCTTGCAATTGACCGAGGAGGAGATTGCTTTGTTCTCATCTGCTGTTCTGATATCTCCAGGTAGGGAGGTCTGAAGTTTCTGTGTCTTTTTAACAACCTGTTTCATTATCTTTAATATAAATTAGATTACCCCTACTTAACTCAAGGCACTCGGGAGAAATTTTTAAAGAATCATATTTTCTTTAACAAGATTTTGATATCTTCAGGTAATTCAAAGTGAAATAGTCTTAATTTAATTGAAATTTTCCTTGGAGGGCTAATTTTGTCCCCAAAGTAACATTTGGATATGTGTTAAGGGTAACTTCAGATTCAGATAATCAAAATATTCCTTAACAGATGAAGCCATATAGTAGCATAGTGGCCTGAGTATTATAACTTTGAGTTAATAGAAGTGAATTCTATTTTGAATTCAAGGAGAAAGGGAAAAAGAGCTAAATCAAAGAGGAGAATGTCCAATAAGGAGGAGCTTGTAGAAATGAAAGATCCATTGTAGGAATTTCAATAAGTAAAACATGAACCTCCTCCTCTTTTAAATACCTCTTTTACTGGCTTTTCTATCCAAATTAGTGTTTTATCGGTCATGTTCAGTGAAATATAGCTACCACCTTTTATTTTTTAATTTTTTAAGCAATATTGGAAGCTTTAAAGGCAAGTAAGAACAGCAAATGAGGGGAAATTGGCTTTTCTCCTAAGGACTGAAACAGGAAGCATTGCACTGTGAACACAGATTTTTCTCGTATGAACTCTAATTCATTTTTAACTGTAACCTGAAATCTGTATGACTATTGATCTGACTTGATTATTTTGATCAGTTTTCTTACCTCGGGAAATAAAGAGGGTCAGACTTAATAATAATGACTTAATAATAAAGACTAACTCAACACTAAAATAAAATGCCTTCACATTTTCAAAGAAGGAAAGACATGACACACAGATCAAATAGCAACTGAAAGTGTCTTTCAAGGTACATGCCAGCTTGAAATTGTGATCAGAACTCAGATAATTCAGAATCATTCACTCAGCTGCTTAGACAAAGGATACTAGAATCATTGGTAGCTCTCTGAAGAAAGAATTATTGTTGATAATATTTTAACCAAGTTAAGAAATTAATCGTGCCTTGGATAGCATTTGACATTTGATATATAGTTCTAGCCTCTATACTTTTTATTAATTAGGCTATAGTTATTATTTTTGAAATCATGAGTATTTTTCATTTACATCTGGTTTGTTTTCTATTTTAATTATTTTATTTATTTATTTTTTTGGCTTATTTGGGTCAGACCCGGCGATGCTCAGGGATTACTCCTGGCTTTGCACTCACGAATAACTTTTGGTGGTGCTCAGGGGACCATGGGATTCTGGTAATTGACCCCGGTTTGGACACATGCAAGACAGCCACCCTACCTGCTGTGCTATCACTCCAGCCCCTTAATTATTTTATCAAGGGCAGTAACTGGTGATAACTTGGATCATTATAGCTCTATATTTTCTGACTTGTTGCAAATCAAGCTATTGGGCCTTCGAATGCATGTGACCTGAGTTCAGTCCCTAACACCAAAAAATATTAAATTTATTTTATTTATTTATTTGAACACATAAAATCAATAAGCTAGACTGTGGATAGGGCCCAAGTGGTAGTGTACACGTCTTGTACATATGAGGTCCTGGTTTTTATCCCTGGTATTCCATGTTCCTTATAGTCACTGCTGGGCATGACCTCACATATTTTTTAATAGAACTGTTTTTAGGTCTTTTTTTTTTATTAAGACTTAGTTTTCCCAGAATTGGAATCATAAAGATAAAAGAACCGACAGAGCTATTTCTATCTAGTGGCAGTCATACCCTAGAAACTTTCTATCATTTTCTCAGAGTTCAACAGAAGACTAGATCCAAGTCTATAAATCTTGGAACTAGGATGAGAAGGGTTTTCACTCTAACTCCAGCTTCCTCTAAGGCAGTGTTACAAAATTCAGTGTCCGCTAAGGTATGTTTGTAATATGTCAGTAAATTCCTGCCAACAAATATTTGACTTAGTATATCAGACCTAAACAAAAAAATAATTGCTTCAGAAGGATGATAAGCCTGTTCCTTATGAATAAGAAATAAATTAGAAGTCAGTTGTTTTTCATGTAGTCAACCTAGATTCTATCCCCAGCACCTGATTCCTGCCAGGAATGATCCTTGAGTGCAGAGTCAGGAGTAAGCCCTAAGCACAACTGGGTGTGGCCTGAAAACCCTAGAAAAAAATAAAGAAATAATTTTTTTTCCAATTTTGAGAAAATACAGGGAAGGAAAGAAAAGCTATTAAATTGTGCTCAGTTTATAAATATGACATTTGGCTTATGTTACCTAACAGTGAATCTTCTAGTTAGCTAGAATACCCACACTCAGACTCTTCAATAACTTCAAGAACTGGGCCGAGCAATAGAACAGTGGGTAGGGTGTTTGTGTTGCATGCGGTCAACCCAGATTCAATCCCCAATACCCCACATAGTCCCCTGAGGCTGTCAGGAGTGATCCCTAAGTGCAGAGAAAGGAGTATGCCCTGAGCGTAGCTAGCTGTCTCCCACACGCACCCTTACCCCCCCCCCCCCCCCATATCCCAAAAGGGAAAAATTCCAAGACCCTGGTTCACTGCATTCATCCAGTGCCATATTCAAACTGGAAAAAGAGATTTAGGTAGGCTCCATTTTATGCCAGATCCTAGCCTTTCTCCCACCCCAGGTTCTTCCTATAATAGCCACTTGTCTGTTAAGCTCCAGAGACTTTAAGGAAGGGAGAGAGAGGGAAACTTAATTTATTCTGATTGACAATTGTCACTAAAGACCTTTGTGCTCGATTACGTAAGGGTTTGCTTAACAGTTAGCTAGCCTTGTCCTGGCCCTGTCTACAATTACAGAATTGAGTTTCTCACCTGACCTGAACTGTGTTTGAAGGATCGTATCCAAGTTCTTTTCCATGAGTATTTGTTCAGCATTTGGAAATTCTAAGTATCTCTTCATTGAAAGTCCAACCTAAGATATTGATACGAGGTTGAATTTTGTGTCTATGTTGCTTGAAACTTATAGGAACAAAGGAAGAAAAGAAGGCAAGATGGATGGGGAGGAGAGAATAAGGACAGAAAGGGAGAAAAAGAAAAGTAGGAAGGAAAAAGGAGAAACTGGAATTATCCTATTAACCTATCAAAAAAAAAGCATAAACATGTATAAAGAACAGCCAGTTACATTTTTGAAATGGATTTTTGTCTATGCTGTATGAATTATAACTAATGAAAGGAAATAGCTAAAATATTCCTGTACAAAGTTTTCTTCACAAATTATTAACTTTTGCTTTTAAAAAGATCTCAGCTTATGTCCAAATAGAGAGAAAAATAATCCCAGACAATAAGAAACATCAAGTAGTTTATTTGAACCATTGTGCCTTTTGGCAGTGATTGAGATAAGGAACCAGTTCAGAAAATCAATATGCCCTGATTTCATAGTCAGCATATTTTTACATGGCTGTCATTATAATTTCCTCGTAAAATATTTTTGTCTTATGTAAATAATTACATGTCTTCAGAAGCAATTTTGGACCATATCATTAGAAATGGCTCTGAAACTGAACACTTACAGGTGGTAACATAGAACAAAGCTCACTTTCCTTTTCTTTCTTATTCTTTTTCTTTCTCAGACCGAGCCTGGCTGATTGAACCAAGGAAGGTCCAGAAGCTTCAGGAAAAAATTTATTTTGCACTTCAACATGTGATTCAGAAGAATCATCTGGATGATGAGACCTTGGCAAAGGTAGGTTCCAAGATCACAGACACATGATCTCTGAAAAAGAGTGACGTCAGCAATGAGGAGACTTACTTATGAAACTGGAGACATTTCTCAGCAGCCAAAATTTCTAAAAGACCTGAAGATGCATACAATTTTCGTTTGGTTGGTTTTTGATTGTTTGTTTGGATTTTGCAGTCACACCCAGAATGCTCAGGGGTTAATCCTGACTCTACACTAAGGAATTACTCCTGGCAGTGCTTGGGGCACCATATGGGATTCTGGGGATGGAACTCAGGTTGACCATGTGCAAAGCAAACATCCTACCCACTGTACTATCATACCAGCCCGATTTTTTTTTTGTTTGGGAGCCACACCTGACAGTGCTCAGGGGTTACTCCTAGCGTTTCACTCAGAAATTACTCCTGGCTGGCTCAGGGGACCATATGGGGAATTAAACCCAGGTTGGCTGCTTGCAAGGCAAATGCCCTACCCGAGGCATTGTTCTCCAGCACCTAAAGAAGCAAATGTTTTGAGGTGCCCACTTTAAATCAAAAGTTATAAATGTGATAGAGTGAAAGAAAAATAACTTCCTAAAGGATGTATGTTACTGGCAAGCCTGAACCCCATGAATAGGAAGATAAATCAGAGGATATTTGGTAAATCAAATGGCTTTTCCTCTCAACAACAAAAGCTTACAGTAAAGAAATGAGTCTTCAAATTCCACATATGAAGAGGAGATTTCATTGCACATTGTACTTGTAGGAGAGTTGTAGGATAGTCTCTAGGGTCACACCTAGTGACATTGGGGCTTCCAGAACTGAATCCAGAATATAAAGAATGTATTGAAAATAATCACTATCACTGTCCTCCCGTTGTTCATTGATTTGCTCGAGCGGGCCCAGTAACATCTCCATTGGAGACTTTGTTGTTACTGTGTTTGGCATATGGAATACGTCACGGGTAGCTTGCCAGGCTCTGCCGTGCGGGCAAGATACTCTCGTTAGCTTGCCGGGCTCTCCAAGAGGGACGGAGGAATCAAACTCGGGTCGGCCATGTTGGCTGCGTGCAAGGCAAACGCCCTACCACTGTGCTATCGCTCCAGCCCATTGAAAATAATAAAAACTAAAAAAAAAATAAAGAGAATAACTGAAGAGAGGTCCAATGCTCACTGGGAGAAGCAATACTCTCCCCCTAATGGATCAGATTTTGGGATACAGTGCTTCTGTCTATTGTATAGATGACAATTTTATTCAGAATAGAAGACAACAGATTACTGGCAAATTTTTTTCAACTGTAAGTTCTTCATGTAAAATTTTCTCTGGAATTATTTCAAAATGGCAAAGTAACCCCGAGGTAAAATGCATGCCACTTACCTTCAGATATTACTTCCAAACATACCTTCACTTTCTTCATATGACTTCTTAATACTAGGTCATATTAAAAAAGAGTACCTGATGTGTAAACAGTGTCCATCTAAATTATGCATGGCAGAAACTCAGATAGTAAACCAAACATAGAGTCATAGTGAGGAATTTAAAATCAAGGATGCAGAGAAAATGTAGAAACTAACATATTCAACCGACCTTAGGGCTGCTGCTTGGCCACTAAAAAACATAAACCCCACTTCAGCAGCTACATGGATAGAACATTAGAGAAATGATTCAGGAAATAAAAGACAGTCATAAGTGACTTCCCTCATAGACGGGCTAAAGAATCGAAACAATTGCACTGGCAAAACCTACCAAAATACGTTAGACTTTGAGAAACATAGTGGTCACCAGAGGGAAGAGGGAAGAGGAGAACGAAGCAGGTAGCGGGAGTTATTCTGATAGTGTGTTTAGCATATTTTTCAAATAAGGTTACATCCCAGGTCAAGAAGTTTCCAATACTTAGTATTCACCTTTATTTTAGATCAAAGATATCTTTAATACCTTAAGAATTGGAATTTTAGAAAGTCAGAATTATTTTTTTGGTTTTTTGGGGGGTTTTTTGTTTTTTTTTTGTTTTGTTTTTGCTTTTTGGGTCACACCTGGCGATACACGGGGGAAACTACTGACTCTGCACTCAGGAGTTACTCCTGGGGGTGCTCAGGGGACCATATGGAATGCTAGGAATCGAACTTGGATCGGCCACGTACAAGGCAAACGCCGTACCCGCTGTGCTATCTCTCCAGCCCCGGGTCAGAATTATTTTTTATTTTACAATACATTTGATTTCTTAAGAAATGGAATGAGGAGGTGGACAGGTGGACTCCCGAGAAGTACTCGGGACATCCAGGGGCCCCTCCTGTGAGTCTCTGTCCAGCAGGTGGTGGTTCAATGCGAGTTGCTGAGAATTCAGGGTTGTTGAAGGCCAGACCATACTGGAGGTGATTGGAGGCTGTCATGGTCACACCTAGTGACGACACTGGGGCTTCCAGAACTAAATCCAGGGATGCTTGGGGGAACCATGTGATTCCAGAGAGCGAACCAGGATTACCCACGTGCAAGACATATATCTTAAGTCATGTTCTGTCTCTTGGTTTAAAAAATGAAAATACTTTCAAGGAGAAGAAACTAAACTAGGAACTCACATTTATTCTTCATTGAGAAGATGGAAGTCCTACTATTTATTATATATTTCCCAATAAAATCCTCACACTTCAGAAGTAGAGTGGGTGGGGCATTTACCTTACAGGGCCCATACAGGGTCAGTCCTCAGCACTCCGTATTGTCCCCTGAGCCTGCCAGGAGTAATCCCTAAATTCAGAGCCAGGAGGAAGGCTGAACGTGGCCTAAGCCGTTTCCCATAAAAATTTTCAAAATAATAAACTTAGTTCTTGAAGTTCTTTATTGAAAGGAAATGAGGAAAAACTATATTTGGAATTACCATCAGATTTTCCTTCGCACATACATATTATAGCTATTTAAAAACAAACTCCAAGCACTAAATAATCTGCTTCAGTATGTAACATTCTGCTAAAACTAAAGTACTAACAGGAAGAACATTTCAACACTATAGAATGACTGTTATTTTCGGTCTAAATTTTTTTTTGTTTTGTTTTGTTCGGGGGGGGGGGGGGGCGGGGAGGGTTACAACCAACAGCATTCAGGGTTTATTCCCAACTCTGCACTAGGGATCATTCCTGGCAGGCTTCAAGGACCATATGGAACGCTGGGGATTGAAACTGGGTTGGCCACTTTCAAGGCAAGCACTCTTTCCTCTGAATTATCACTTCAGCCCCTGGGGCAGCTTTTCATGTCCCTTGTCGACAAGGACTGATCACCTGCACTTCAGTTTTCTTCCTGAAAAGAACAAAATTTCTAAATACTCTCACATTCACTAGGTAATAAAGCCATGATGTGACTATAAGCACCTATTCTCGCTCCAATTGTTCTGTAGCATATATACACAAATACATCTGCTAATTACTGGTAGAGAACTTTTCTGCATTTGAGATGACAAAGACTGTGGTGCTCATTTTTGAGATCCTTAACTTGAGACCTCGATACGATCCAGATTTAATATAAATTGTGGCTTGTTTCCTAGGGCAGTCATCTGCTTATCACAAAACCTTTTCTCATCATCTGTTAATGAAGGCTATAATCTATTGCTCCTTAAAGATATGTTTTGATGTTCAAATGAGATAAGCACTGTATAAATTTAAACAAACTATGCAATCATGATTATTCCTACCCCTAGGAGGTGAAAATTGTTATGCCCATAACATCTTCTACCTCCTGTTAGTTATCTGAGATATAAACAGTGAAACTGAAAAAATGAAACTAAATATTTAAAGGCAAGAAAAAAGTTGAAACACTGACTCCAGGTCAATCTATCTCTCCTTTTTCCAATCTAGACCTTCTTATAGAGAGAGATATAGCAAAGCTTGAGACTAAGTAAAACATTCAAAGAGAATTATTTCTTGTATAAGATTAATTGGACACAGATGACAAAGTATCCAGCTGACAGGTCATGAGTAAATTTGCAGTTGTTGTGTGGACCATTCATTGCAAGTCATTACTTTAATAGGATGTTACTTGAACTAATGTGAAGGGCTCATAAAAGAAGATTCTCATCTAACATGGCTCTCAACTGTATAGCTTTGGATAACTCACTCCATTTTTCCAAATCACAGATTCATCCACTGTCAAGTCTGGGAATGGGGGACAGTGATGGATGAAAAATCTGGACTACTTTACTGCTTTGAGGACAATGGCACCATCAATGCATACAGAATATCCTCTCAGCAAACTTCACTTCCCCAAAATAACTGTTTTATTTAAATCCAAGAAAACCTAGTCTTTCCTATCACAGAGTGTTCTATTCTTTTCAGAAATGCACTCTGTCTCTAAAGCCACCCGATAGGTATAGCAGATGTCAGTTTAAAAGTGCAGGTATTGGGCAGTATTGTGAGAATAGTCTTCAGTACATTTCCCAAATTTAAGTTTAAGTAACAATACCTTTTGACCATACATGAACTTTAGGAATGTTTGAAAGTTCACTGAGTTCATATCCAATAACAAGAAAGCTCTAATACTTATTATTAATTTGTTTTCAGAATAAGACTCTATTAAAAATCTAATTTCCTCCCTAGTCAGCATTATATGTACATATTTGCAGCAAACCATTAGAAACATTTTCGGGGAGCCCAGCAAACTACCGAGAGTATTCGATATGCCAGACACAGTAACAACAAAGTCTCCAATGGAGACGTTACTGGGCCCGCTCGAGCAAATCGACGATCAATGGGAGGGCCTTTATCTTTACCTTTATTAGAAACATTTGCTAGTTCAATGACCCTAGACAAGTAGCTTAAACTCTCTGTGCCATTTCCTCACTTAATCCTAACTATGATTAAGTCAATCACATATCAATATAGTTGGACTGTGCTCCCCTTATTCATTGATTTGCTCAAGTGGGCACCAGTAACATCTCCATTGTTGTTACTGTTTTTGGCATATTGAATATGCCACAGGGAGCTTGCCGGGCTCTGCCATGTGGGTAAGATACTCTCAGTAGCTTGCAGGGCTCTCTGAGAGGGA